GCTATTCCACAGTGACTGCTACCGTGCATCTTGCATCTTGTTCTGAATAAGGTGGAATCAGCCAGCAATAAAAGCAAGGCACAGTGATGCAATAGGGCCCTGAGTTGATCTACAGTTTCACAGTTACTACAACTGTTTGGGTGGGGAAGAGACAGTGGAAAATGAAAGAAACATAAGGAGAGAAAAGTGTGTCTTTCGAGCCTTAAAGAAGAGCATCAAATCAACTGAGATAAAATAAATGGAGTGACTAAGAACTCTCCTGTTTAACTGTTGATAGGAGATCAGTTGAGTAAGGGATTTTTTAGGTAAAAGAGGTGGAGCTGAGGCAATTACTGGCTAATTATATGTGGGAGAACTGCCAGTGAATGGGTTGTGTGAGGAAAAAAAAGACAAAAAACACAAGAGGAAAGATTTGGGCAGGGTAGGACAGCATATGAGTAGACAGCAAGCACTTGATACAGCAAAAGAAGCAAACTACTTGAAAAGCACCAAAATGTGTGTGCAAGTAGCAGAAGAAGGCTGGAGAAGCTGATGAAAGGAGCAATATGGAAGAAAAAAAAACTTGAAAAAGGTAATCTAGATCAAGGCACCAAACATTATTATCAACTGTGAGTTTACCTTGAAATTAAAGCTCTCATCCAGGAGAGGCTAAGACACTGTGTTTGCTCATTTTGAAGCAGAGCAGGCTGTGGGGCAGGAGCTTATGGCTGTCATCAGCCACCTAATGGGAGGATATGAAGAAGGTGTAGGCACGAGGTGGCAGAACATGAGATAACAGACACAAGTTGTAATAACCTCATACTACGTCTTACTAAAATCTTCTTCTACATAGGAAAAAGTTTCATCATGGGTGTTGTCAAATATTGGAACAGTTGCCCAGGGACATTGTGTAATCTTCATTTTCAGTAATAACTAAAACTAGACTAGAACAGGCCTTGAGTGACCTAACCCAATTTGGCCCTGCTTTGAGCATGGGGTTGGAGCAGATGACTTTCACAAGTCCCTGGAATGTAAATGATCCTGTGGTTTTAAAGGGAGCATCCTTTAAGTGATTAAAATTTAAGAAGATCTTATTGTGTTCTTTTTTTTCCTTTGCTACTAGTATGTGCATATTTTTAGCAGACTATTGAATCTTTTACTTTAATATAAATCTTAACAAACTCTTAGCCTCACCCACTGAAAAAGGCTTATCCAAGCTAGTGAGAAAGGGCATTTTTTAATAACATAAAAATAATCATGCAATATTCTTCCCAAATGAGACCTCCAACAGCTCCGTGCACAGTTGCTTGCTCCTAGAGTTATCAGTAATACAGATGTGATTCCTTCTGCAATCAGAAGGGACTGCATATTGCCAAAGGACATGGGCAATTTTATAGAATCCCTACAGCTACTCCAGATGACAGGCATACCTTTTGCTTGCTAAATACTCTTAGAAACAAATATCCAGAGAAATAAGAGTGGAGAAGCAGCCATGTAGATGGCTAACCTTGGTAGACACCCAAATGCCCACCCAGCCACCCTCTTACTCTCCCTCCTCAGCAAGACATAGGGAGAAAATTGGATGAGAAAGCTCGTGGGCAGAGGTAAAGAAGTTATAAAGACAGGGAGCTTGTTTACCAGTTACTATCGCAGGCAAAACAGACTTGGCTTGGAGAAATTTAATTTATTGCTGATTAACATAGATTTGGGTAATGAGAAAACAAAAACAAACATTAAACCAACACCTTCCCTCCTCCCTCTCCCAAGTTCAGCTTAATGTTTTTGACTTCAAACTTGTTCCCTCCTCCTCTTTCTGGCTGGTGTATTCTGCCTCTGGTTGAGTATGTTTGTACAGAGGTGCCACACACATGGCTAATCAGCTCAGCTCTGTCCAGTGCTCTGTCCTTCTTTATTTGGAAGTCAGCTTAGCACTTTATCAGGCAGTCATTCCTCCACTCTTTTTTGTCTACATTTGTCATTTTTGAAATATTTTTTAAGAAGTCCCAGTCATAAATTCTAAGTATTATTTTCAAAAGTACCTGGTAATTTAAATATTATATGATTTTGCACGGCAAGGCACCCTGTGTGTGCACATCTACAGAAGGAAAAGAAACTAAGGTCCCAGCCTTCTTTTTTTCTCTGTAAACTGCCATTCTCTTTTCTGACTGTTCAGCATGACAAGTCTACTCAGATAAAGTCAAAAGTAAATCCCACGCAGATTGCACCCCACATCACCCAAAGGGCTTGCTTAAAGGTTGCTATTTCACTCTTCTATTTAGCTGGAGAAATCTGCCGTATAGTAACATAGAGCAGGCAGTCTTATAAAAGTGAAGAAAGAAAGGAAGTACCTTAAATCATGATGGGGGCAGGGGGAAAAAAAGGGCTTTCTATCTATCTGCCCAGAATGGCTCTTGGCAGATTTGTTGTTCTAAATAAAGAGGTAACAGCTGGTCCAGGAAGGACTCCACGGGCTTGCATATGGTGAGGGGGAAGGCAATGCCCACACACTCTTCTACCAAAGTGTAAGAAGGAAACTTGCTTCTCCTTATCCTTGGTTGATTCTTCAGTCTTATTAAGAACACCTCTCTGCATTATCATCAGTGGAAATCTGCCCTTGAGCTATTGCTTTTGTTTCGTGTTTCATCTAAAACACCGTGGCAGCAGCTCTGTATCACGGTGTACGCCTGCTCTTAGGAAGGGAGGACACACGGACAGACGGACAGACAAGAAGGGCTGCAGAGGACTCCACGAAAGAAACACCAAGCAAGGGGACACGAGCTGAATGTGGCTTCATTCAGGCAGGACAGCAACATGTTGTTAGCAGGAGAAGAGACCAGGAAGGATGATCAAGCCAGAGGAGTATAAAAGGAACATGAGGAGAAAAGAATACCCTTTAACGTTATTCATATTTGGTTGTCACTGCCTGCTCTAGGCTGCTCATGGAATCTTGGGAAGTAAATTATAGGAACTGACTTTTGTAGCTTGATAGACTGTCATTATTTCAGCTATTCCTTATAATATTAATCATTTTCATCTATCTCCAGCTTCTATGACAATGAGGCTGCAAGGAAATATCAGCTTTCACTGAATACTACGAAAAATGGAAGACAAGTTTTTTTAAAAAATACTTATTTTTATTTTTTATTTGGCAAGCCAAATCTTTCTCTTTTTTTTCCTTTTTTTTTTTTTTTTGACTGCTTAAAACTACTATCTGAAACTAAATTATTGATTGGCAGTTTATTTAGACTGTGAACTAGTCATGCTACTCATGCAGACAACAAATTTAGTGCCATACAGAGCTGGTCTACATCAGAGCTTATTGGCTCTGGAGCAGCACCAAATGAATGTAGTTACATTTCTCTCAGAATGAACAGGATAAAAGGATAAAAAGGATAAAAGGATAAAAAGGCACAGATATTTTAATTATTCTCAAAGTTTAAACAAATGAAAAGCACGTATCAATTTTAATTGCTTTTTAAGTCTCCAGCACAATGACCTGTATTTTAAAAATAAAAGTATTTTAATAATGATGCTATTTTGCATGACCCAAATCACTTCATGAAGCAGGAATTTAAGGTAACATATTATTGACAGCCATTAATTATTCGTTGCATTTGCACTCAGTGTTAACCAGAGTATTCGTACATTCCATGTCTGAGTTGAACTCTTGTTTGAATAAATCCAACTTCTAAATTTTGTCAGCAGCCAAAACTGGGTTCCATATAGCATTTATTTTTTAGACTACTAAGTGTAGTGCAGCAACATTTTACACTGCTGAGAGATTATGAGTAGATGTGTATTAAAACAAAGGAAGCACCAGAAGAACTTCATACACAAATTATATAACCAACATAAGCAGTTTGCTCTAATGGACTGTCCGAAGCTTGAGATAGGAACACAGTCATGACATTAGACTGGGTGATCAGGCTTGGCCAAATTTTAGCCCAATACCACTTCTGGGTGATATGTAATGAAATCTACTTCCTCCTACAGACATGTCACAGAAATACCACTGGCCCTGGGGCAGAGAGTACATTATTGGTAATGATGATACCATTATTACTGCTTTTTCTAGTCAGGACAGGTTCACAGAGCCACATTTTCTCTGTCCCATGACCAGGCTGCTGCTGTTTCCCCTTTTTAAAATTTTATTACTATACACTAACAAAAGGGCCAGAAATAACTAGGATAGAGAGGGTATTAGCTCTGGGCTCAGCTGTCCTCCATGTAGCATCTTTCTTCTAGTGCTGTTGCGCCTTGGTAAAGAAGTGGAATTATGGTAGATCTGGCTTAGTGACAGCTCCTGCTCCTGCTAGTTCTTTATAAGTACCCTGAGAGGCTGTTTCTGGTGGCAGCTGTAACTAAGGCCTCGGTGGAGTTTCCAAACATGTTCCTAGCAGCAAGCAGTGGTGTCCTGGTTTCAGCCAAGACAAGGACAATTTTTTGCATTAGCTGGGAGTGGGCATGGTTATGCGGGTGTAACCAGGACCAGATGTTACGCTACACCACCCCTTATCATTGACAGGGGTGGGGGGAAGATAGACTCCAAGGAAAGGGGCATTCCTTTCTGCTCGGAGAAAACATGTCAGAAACAGCCAATCAGATTGGTATTAGTTCATTGTCACTTCCCATGTAAACCATCTGTCTTACACCTTTTGTTGTTAATATTGTTGCTGTTACCATTCATTCTATGATCTCACTGCTGTTTCCAGTAAAGTGTTCTTATCTTAATCCATGATCTTTGTCTTTTGTACTTCCAATTGGAGAGGGAGCGAGGGGCAGCGTGGTTTTAGTGGCAATATCAAACTAGAGAACACCATTCCTAAACCACGACGAAGTGGTCACTCCAACTCCAGTCTGAGGAGCTAAATGTGTGAGAAGAGGCTGCTACAAGGCGATCTCTGTGAGAAATGATTTACTCTCCCAGCTCTGTGAAATTTTGGCTAGGGCCAAATATTGCTAACACAGAGAACCAATGAGAGAATGGCTGCCAAAGGGTGAGGGGAAAAAAGTTCTCTCACCTTGGCAGGCTCGTTCATCGTCCACAGGCTGGTAGCCAGCCTTGCAGGTACACCGTCCAATGGCCACCATCCACTCCCCTTCCCCGTTGCAGTGCAGCCGAACACTCGAGGAGCCCGTCGTGCTCGTCTCTTCAGCGTTGGGCACACACGTCCCCGGGGACTCCACCAGTGACGTCCTCTCCCCGCCAGCAAACGTTTCAGGAAAGGAGGCAAATCCTTTCACCACAGCTGGGCACTTGTAGAAAAAGACTTGGACTGCCACCAAGGACATGCAGGCTCCCGAATCCTGGAAGGCCAGGTAGAAGCCCTGCTTGGTGAGTGGCCCAAAGCTACGTACTTTAACATTCATCTTGACCACCTTCCCAGTGCTGTCCACCTGGGAAAAGCTTTCATCAGCTGCAATAGTGTCCACTTTGGTCCAGGGGCCCTCACGCCACTCTGGCATGTCCTGAGAGGCTATGTCAGCCTCCGACTGGTGGTAGTAGAGCGTGAAAGTCTCCTTGCAGGAAGAGGCCACGGTGCGCATGCTGGCACAGTCCCTCACTGAGAAGCGGAGGCGGACGTGGACGCGGTGGGCTCCGCGCCGCTCTATGAAGTGAGTGCGCAGCCAGTTGTTCTGACCCGGTTCAGCCACGTTGCACACTTGAAAGGTTCGGATCAGGCGCTTCTTGTCATCCAGGACACTTACCTCATCCCACTACAATGGATACAGAGGAGAAAAAAGAAACAGTAAAAAAAAAAAAGGATTCAGTATTCAGCTGCCCCAAAAATGCAGGACTGGCCTTTGTCTTCCCTTTCTCCTTGCCGTGCCTATGACAAGATTTGAACTTGTTGATGCCATGTGTAGCAGAGCATTCTAGACAGAGTATGACCCTGTAAAGAATAGCACTCAAAGCTCCAAAGTAAGAACTGTTGTGACAGAAAACATAAATCATGCAAACTTGGTCACACGACATCGAGAATCTTAAAATGCAAGAGTCACACTTTCTTCCTTCCTATCTTCCCATCTCTTATCTCCAGAGACAAAACAAAGGACACAAACAAATGAGACAGAGCAACTAGACACTGTTCTCTGGAAAACACATTAAAGCAGAAGTCCCTTCCACTTTTTACCACAGTGGGAGCTGTGTTCTGACATCTCCTATGCACATAAACCACTCAGCATGACCACTACAGGGGCAGGTCCAGATCTGATTTGTGCCTGGAGGAAGAATAAGGAGGGGTAGAAGCAGGTTCCTGCACAAAGCTATAAAACAAAACCTTCCTTACCCTCTCAACAAGCTTTTCAGAATAGGTACAAGGCCCTGGGTATGACAGAGGACGTGCACAGTGAGAGAGAAGAGAATGAACCTGCTCAAGCATTCTCACAAAGGTCTGGCCAACCAGCTCCTCACAATAAGATCTGCAGTAAGACCATTTGCCAAGAAGAAACAACAGCAAGTTATGGTCATCCGTGACTTTCTCTGGTGTCAAACAGAAGCACCCATCTGCAGCCCAGAACATCTTTTTAGGCAAGTTTGCAGCCTCCCTGGGCCCCAGTTCAGTGATGTCAGCAGATGATGGAAGAGCTTAGTACAGCCTTCGGACTACTATCCACACCTGCTTTTTCACATGGGTACAAATAATGTCCCAACAAAAAGTGCAAAGTTGATTAAGAGAGTTTTCAGGGCCCTGGGAAGAATGACAAAAAAATTCAGGAGAATGGGTACTGTTTTTCCTCGATCTTTTCAGTAGCAGTAAGGCACTTTGAAAGAAACAGGTGCCAAGATATCAATACTGGCTTCAGGACTGGCGCCTCTGCCAAAAAGGGTTTGTAACCATTTAAGAATCTCTGAGACACAGGGTGTGCTGGGATGTGACAGGATCCACTGTTCTGATGGAAGTAATGTATCTTTGCTCATAAATTGAAGGGACTTGGTTTGAGGGATTTAATCTGTAACTGATGGAGGAAGTGCATACCAGCAGGAGACCTGAAGGTAAACTGAAGGTTGGCATGGCATAAACTTAGGATAGCAGTGCTAGTTGGGATCATGTATGCTGCTCCTGGCAGCATGGAGGGCTCAGGAGCACAGCTGAAATGTTTGTACACCATGGGAGCACTGGCCGATCATTCATGGCACAAAACCTAACAAGAGCAAGTGCCAGATCTTGCACCTGGGATGGAGTAACTGCAGGCACAAGTGCAAACTGGGAGAGGAGTCTGGGGAGCGCCCTGCAGGGAGGGCCCCGGGGGTGCAGGTGGCAGCAGCTCAGTGAGAGTCAGCAGGGTGTGCCCGGGCAGCCCAGAGGGCAGAAACCATGTCCTGGGGGGCATCAAACAGGCAGCACAGCCGGGCAGAAGGGGGGATCACCCCGCTGTGCTCAGCCCTGGTGCGGCCTCACCCGGAGTGCTGGTGGCACTTCTGGGCACCGCCGCCACTTCAGAGTGGTGGGAAAGTCTTTGTGTGCAGAGGAAGGCACAATGCTGGTGGAAGGGCTGGAAGGTGTGTCCTGGGAGGAGTGGCTGAGGGCTCTGGGCTTATCCAGTCTGGAGACAAGAGAGGCTGAGGGATGACCTCCTTGGTCTCTGTGGCTCCCTGAGGAGGGGAAGGGGAGAAGGAAATGCTGATCCCTTCTCCCTCATATCCAAGATAGGATGCATGGGAATGGTTCAAATCTGCCTCAGGGGAAGCTCAGAATTGACATCAGGAAACATTCCTTTACCTAGAAGGTGGTAAGACACTGGAACAGGCTTCCTAGAAAGGTGGTCAATACCCCAAGCCTGTCAGTGTGTAAGAGACATTTGACAGTGCCCTTTATAACATGCTTCAGCTTCTGGTCAGCCATTAAGTGGTTAGCAGCTGGGCCAGCTGATTGTTGCAGGTACCTTTCAATGGCAATATTCTATTCTATTCCATTCCATTCCATTCTATTCTATTCTAATCTGGAGGGGTAGCTGGAGAACTGTTTAGTGTCTCTGGAGCAGAGTGGAAGGAAGAGGGTAAGGAGGTGGCAATAGCATCCCACTCAGCATCCTTCTCTCTTAACAATTCGGCTTTGCATAATACACTGTGCTCAAATTGTTCATATGTACAGAATCTATAAACCAAGTCTCACTGCTTCCAGTTTCCCTTTCTTCATCAGATGCATGCACATCTTCCCAGCAGAGGTACAGTCAAGAAGAGGACAAGGGAAATGCTTACCCCATCAGAAGGGTGTGCAGTCCAGCCTATCTCTGAGGTCTCTTGAGTTGTGTCCAGAAGTATTTCTGTTTGTATTAAAAAAACAAATAAATAAAAGAAGTATTTTGTGCTATTCCAAGTCAAACTAAAATTTATCTGTTCCTCACAAGATTGTCTTGTAGAGGGCTTCCATACACCAAAAATAAACATTAATGTTTTGAGATTAAATATGACAGGTTATGTCTATACTAATAAATTAAGAAGGGCCAAGACAAGGGCAGAGGCACTGGGCACATAATCATGCTAACTCATGACTCTCAAGTTGCTTGGCAATATTCTCACCAGACTTTCCCAGGCAAAGTATAAGCACACTGACAGCTTGGAGCAGTTATGATAATGAGCAACTCAGATGAGGCCACTCTCTTTTTGGAAAGGAAAGAGGGACACAAGATGAGCAACATGAATGCATGCCAGTCTCCTCAGAACTATGGTTGCCCATTTTATTTGCACATGTAAGTGTGGACATGAAGCCAAGATACATTTGTTCACAGTTCTGGAACCAAATTTCTTTGGGAGTTTAAGACGCAAACCCAGATGATCCTGTAATGGATTCACTTTGTTCTGGAGCTGGGCATTACACTCCAAGCCTGTGTAGGAATCCCACTATTAAATAATCTGTTGCATCACACTGCTCAAGAGTAGGGTACATGCAGAACTTCACAGGCCTAGTTTATTCCCACAAATAGTCTGCATTTCCATTGTTTTTGAAGCTACCACTAGAGACAGATACTAGCCTTGACTGCTGTTGGACACTTTATTCTCTGCTGGGGTACAAAGAAACACACGAGAGCTTTTGACAGTACAAACTATAAACACAGTTTAAACAAAAACTCCAAAAGAGAGTGTCAGGGTCTGAGACCATCGTGGTATGCAAGCATGTGCTCTTTACTCTGTATATTTAGGACACAGAATAAGAAAATGGCTCAGCTGAATAGGTATTTACATGTGTTGATATTCACTGTATAAATAAACTGTCTTTTCTTAAATTCTGGGCTTTAATTGGTTATTCTGATTTTCATATTTCTATCTTATTGCTTTAAAAAAAATCTCAAAAAACAGATTAAAAAAACCAACACAAAATTTAAGAGCAACAGCCAGCTTACTTACAAATAAGATTCATGATCCATTATTAAACCTTGCAAAGGTTTAATAATATGATTGTTCCATGTTTTATGCAGGAGAGAAATCCTCAATGGTTTTTATTTCCAGTTTATGGATTGCTTATGTCACTATCCCTACCAAAACACCTGGGAATTCATCCACATTAATTACTGGAAAGGAAAGACTAGGTTCATCCTAAAGCAGACGTGATCATGTGAACAAGTTTATACAGACCTCAGCGTTCACCAATGTCCCTGAACTATATTCCCTATATTCCCACAGGACATTTTATACTTTTTAGACCTCCCTGAGGATGCAGCTCCTTGATTCAAAAGCAGTGCAAAATACTGGGCCGGCTTGCCAAAACTGGGAAGAACTACTGGTTACAGCTAAAGTACAGCCCCACTAAAATTATGTTACAGAGCTCAGGAAATGCTGAGCTGCTCAGTTCTCAAGGATAACTCAGCTCAGACAGCCCCTCTGAGCAGCAGAACATCTGCAGAAGGCCTATGCCTCCCTGAGGCACAGTGTTAGCTAGGCTGTCCTGGCAGCAGAGGAACTTGGCATTCCCCCATGCCCATTACCTTCTCAATTGCACAGCCTGGCACAGGGATTGCACTGTGTCATGTCATTACTTTGCCACTGGGATGCCAGACACGGCCTTGATATGCTGAAATAATATACAAGGCCATTTTTCAACACAGAAAACTTTTTTCCTAATCAGATCTGAGTCTCCCATTTACCAAAGTATAATGCTTTTACCCCATGGAAACTCTAGAAGAAAGTAAAATTGAGAGAAGTTAATAAGGGCATGGAAAGCCATATAGAAAGCGCAAAAGGAATGTAAAAGAAAGGAAACAAAGACTTGCTCAGCAGCCCATGCTCTGCCATGTTAAGCATATTCTCCAGGCAACTTCTCACCAGTGAGCAAGGTAATATTTACCCAGTAAATTTACCAAGAGTATTTTACAAGCAAACAGAAGTAGACAGCCTGAAGCAGACAGAACTGTCCCTTTCACAGTGAATACTTTAAGTCAGAAACCACTAGAAAAACAAGAAAAGTACACAAGAATTCTGTGTGCATAAATCTCATTTTGCAACTTACAGCCAAAAGTCCCTCACTATTTTTCTTCTTCCTCCCTCTCCTACTGGCTGTATGCCTTGAATCACATCCCCAGTCACACTAGCTGCATGCACACTCATAAATCTAACAAGCTGTTAAACTGCTCTCTAGCTCTGAGGACAACCGGCACACTATGGCTCATGTTCCCATGACTAAGAACTCCAACCCCACAGAATCCCATGGCTGCATCAAAACCACCCCCCAGGAATGGTCCTCAGTCCATCCTAACCTCTGACCTATGTGTAGGCACTGTCTGTGATAAGATTATTTGGCATGGGCCAAACAAACCCATGGCTGTGTTCATAATTTAACAGTATGAATGACTACATGTGTACAGGTATAAGCCTTCACTCTGACACTTTATTAGCACTGGTGACTGATGTAGCATTCCACATCCTCACTGTGCTGGGCTAGACCAGTACTCTACTGTTCTTCAGTGCAGATAGAAACAATATGTTCTGTTGAATTTACCACCCTGGAAGAAAAATGGCTTGCATCCTTTTAACATTGCTCAAAATCAAGGGTTTTGCAAGATCAGGTTAGACCCAGGCTCAGTGGAGCCCATGATGCTGCTAGAGGCAACACTGATTGAGGAATCTCAGGGTATCATTAGAGTAATATTCCACTCTGCATTAAAAACGGGCAAGATACCTGAGAAATCTAGAAGCTTTCAAACACGTGAAATTATGACAATTCTACAATACTTCTTTCACTCCTGGTTTAATCTCAGTTTTGAAGAATGATATTCCAATTTCATATTACAAGTGTTATTTTAGTTCAAGGAACATAAAAATAACTGATGAGAGATTCCTCTGTATTTCTCTTCCCTAAACTAAAAAGAAAAAAACATCACTTTTTATAGAAGAGTCAAATGGGTTCATTACACTCTGCAAAATCTGAACTATCATTTGAGTATCCTCAGTTCTTGCAGGCCAGAAAGGGTGAAATAAAAATACTTCAGCTAGTACTATTCTATATTTACATCACAAACCAATCTCTTGGGCTACATTATGTTATAATGTCAACATCCAGAAAAACTGGGCAGAGGCTAGAAGCTGCTATGACAGATCAGGCTGTTCAGAATAGGCACATTAACAATTTTCAGATTTTGCCAGTACTTTCAAGCAAGACTATTAAGTGCTTGTGTTATAGACAAAATGATCCCCTGATGCAAGAGCATGACAATTCACCCAAGGATGACTGACCCTTAGACAACCTTCATGGAGGCAATGATGGCCTAACAGCTTTCTGGATTGAAGAGCATTTGCCCTCAGTGTCTTAACAGTGCAGTGGTGTAAGAGGGAGTTATACAACCAAAGCCTTGCAAACTACAGCCACAGACAAGAGAGTTGATCCTGAGAAGAGAGGAAAATGATCCCTTTACCTGTGTGGTGAGAATCTGGTACTAAAACTGTAGAAACACAGAATGAAATAAGCTGGAAGGGAGGTACAGAGGTCATCTTGATCAACACCCCACTCAAGGCCAGGCTACATTACAGTAGATTGCTCCAAACCTCATCCAGTTGAATTCTTAGCATATCCCAATGAACACTGGTAGAAGGCAAAGGGCACTATGGTAAAAGGTAACATTCAAAGAGTTTGCTTTGCTATGGAGCTGAATGCCCCAAGCAGCAAAACTTGCTCACTTAACAGACTTGAAAAGAACTGAAACATTTCTGAGCTTATTCTGCCTTCTATGATCATGCCTTGAACAAGCAGGAAGAGTGTGAATGCTCTCTAAGAAGGCTGGGGAGAGAAATCATTCCCTGGGCTGGTGCAAAAATAGTGTCAGGAGCTGTCAAATCCAGTAACCTCACACAAGCCAGGCTGCTGCAGCTCCATGGCCCCAGGTACAACCAAAAGCAGGGTTAAGTGAGTATTCCCAACAGGCACACAAACAAACACATGCAGGCACTGTGTATCTGTGAATGGCCAGCCACAAAGATCAACACAGACAGAAGCACTCACCAGTCATGCAAAGAGAAACAGCACCACCAATGGCCTCATCCTGCTCCCCTTTCTAGTTGGTCAGGATTAAGGTCTCTTAGTGGGAAATACATATGCATTTATATACAGTGAAGATCTCTGCAATAACTGTCCTTAAAGATTAAACCTCCTGACCTCTGGATCTGTGGTCTCTCCGTCTGCTGGCATCTGAAGCTCCCAGCCCCACTCGTGGTGCGAGGAGTCAGACAGCCCCCACTCACTGATACATCCCTTCACACACACAGAGGCACGCTTGGATCCTCTACTCACTGGCTTTAAGGGTGCAGCCTACCCCTGGGTGCTAGCCCTGGGAGCTTGCTCTCCTGGGTTGCTATTCTGTGGATGTCTCCATGAAGTGGTCTTTGACACTCAGCTGATCCAGGAGCTGGCCCTGGGATCATCCTGTCTCCAGGTACACTAAGATACACAACACATAGACAGTACTCTCAAAGAACCCCCAGAATTTATGGCCACCAGAATAGCTGACCTGGACCTCCTGATAGTTGACCATCCCTCACTAGATAAACCCCTCCATTTTTCTCATTCATAGAGACACACACATTCAAACTGGTGTCTCACTCCTCCTCCAGACTCTGCTCTTCCCCTGGCTTCCCAACCCACTAACTCCACCATCAAGCTAGTTTGCCTTGATATAGAGATCACAGGCTCACTAATACAAGCTCACTCACTCCCCAGCTGCTTGCATCACAGATACACAGATCCTATGACCTGTGGTCCACCCTGAGTTCCTAGCATTTGATTTTCATCCATTCCATGATCTCCAGTTGCTGGTAACACTGACTCATGGGCCATTAT